AGTCTTGGAAAATGGGGTCAATCAGAGATTCAATACTATGAAAAAGAAACTTCATGAGTTTAAGAGTCTGGTCACCTCACTCTCTGTAATCTTCTCTGCTCCTAGCACCTCATTCTCTTATGAGGATCTTTTCACTCATTCCTTTGCACCACCCTCACCTAAACCAGAACCTTCTCCAATCCTTATCTCTACCATGCCTACTCCCACTTCTCCCTCAACACCATCATCCTCAGCCTCTAACACAACTTCCCTTGCAATCATATCTATTTTACCTTTACCACCAATATCTCATGCTCTCTCCTCAGTCTCTCACCTTCCTCCTCTTCCTATTTCTTTTACCCTACCTACTTCATCCTTATTCTTTACCCCATCTAGTTCTAATGCTGACAAAAAAAGGGAAAAGACCTCTCAGGATGTTATAGACGACCTTGATTGATTTTTTTTTTCCTTCTGTTTAGCTTGTTTAATTTTTTTAAATTTTAGTTTTGCTTGAACTTCTGATTATCCTATGTCTATTTGGTTAACAGTTTATCAATTTCATTTTCTAGATTTAGTTTTTGGTATTTGTTATTTTTCTATGATTTTACCCTATCTGTTAATTTAAGCTATTAATGCATCTTTTGTTTTGTCATCATCAAAGATGGTAAGAATGTTAGATTTAAAGTTTTGATGATAACAAAGTAAGTAGTTAAGTTTCTCTGTATTCTTATTTCATGGACAACCTGTTACATAATTGAATTCTTTGATAATATTATAAATAAATGCAATATTTGATTACCTTATCGATCAATAGGTACACTACTTTGAATATTACTACTGTTAAGCAATTATCGATCACTTGATTGATAAACAAGGTTTTCAATAAGCCATCAGGTAAAATGATAAGTTTCTCTCTGTGTTGATAAGTATTTATCGATGACCTTAGGGATAAATAAGGTTATCGATCACATTTTTGATAATTGGTAAGCCTCATTCAAACCATATTTGGTTAAGAACACTTTGTGAGTTATCAATCACCCTATCGATGTTCATACTTATCGATAACTTGTTCTAAAACTGAGTAAGTTTGGTTTACTAAACTTCTTTTTATGTTTGATAAGCTATTATTTGTTTCTCTAAACTTTCAAGTTTTATTCAGACATTAATCGATAACATTATCCATAAACACAATTATCTATCACTTCGTCTTTATCGATAATTACACTTATCGATCACTTTATAATCAAAGTCATGTTTTCCTGCCTCTGAATGAGTTATCTTTTTTATAGTTTTCCTAGCAAATTTTCGATAAAGCTGTTATCGATAACCTTTCAGATAAAACTACTTAAAATAGTTTTTTATAGGTACTTCAATTATCGATAAGGTCTCGAATAACGTGAATTATCAGTAACTTATTCCACAAAGTTCAAATACATTTCTTAAAATTGTTCTTCACGATATTTTTCAAAAAATATGACATTATTCTATCTTCAAGCTTATCTCAACCTTCATTAATCATCTTATATTCTTATAAAAAGCAGAGAAGGCACCTGATTCAAGTTACAAACTTTTCAATTGACTTCAGAATTATTTTCATGATAAAATCACTTTGATTATAATTCACTATTTATCGATAACCTATTTCAGAAAGTGCTTGATCAATAATGACATCGATGAATGAGTTTTACTTTCAAGTCTCACTCTTTCAATTAATCGATAGCTTTTTTGATTAAGTTGTTTATCGATGAGATCCTTGATAATCTGGTTCACTGATCTTTGATTTATGATTTTCACTTTATGCATTATTAAATCCAAGGATCATCATTTCTTCTATTGTTTGTTCATACTGTCTCATAAAGAAAACTTATCTTTCTACCAAGACATTTCCACTGGTTACGAAGCTCAATGGTTATATTATAGGCTTAAGGTACTTATATCAGAAGTGCATTCATTACGAACAACTGTTGCAGTTGCTAGCACACGCAAATGATATTTCAACAGTTACAAGCTCTTGTGTTTAACAGAAAGTTGGAAGTCTTTAACTATAAAAACTGCGCAAAGCATTGAATGAAGCAGTGAATGAGCTGAGCTACCAACTGTTGAATTAATTTTTCGCATTCAATACTCTGTTTTTCGTTTTGAGCTTTAGTATTTATCCTATACACTCTTAAGAGAGAGTTTATAAATTATTTATTACTTTCAACAAGTGACGCAAGAGTCTAGGACTCTTGAAAGAATTGTAACCTTACAGGAAGTAAAGGGAGTGATTGAGAGTGAGCTCAATTACTGTACTGTGGCACCAAAAGCTCATTGAATCTTAGGTATAGTGAAAAACTCAGAAGTGTTTTGAGAACTGGATGTAGATCAAGTGGTTGGGATTGAACCAGTATAAATTCTAGCATATTTATCTTCTGCTCTTCTTTGGTGAAATCCTTCTAAACTTATTCCTTTTCTTTATTCGATTATTTATTTTTAAAAAGCAATTTTTTATCACCAAATTCACTCCTTTCTTAGGTGAAACTACCACTAACAAATTCTACAATAACATCCATGAACATATAAATAAATGAATTATTTCAGTTTTTAGTTACAGAGTTATCATTTAAATTTGCTAAATTAACTTTTTCTATTAATGAGGCTAACGATGTTATTAGTATTTAAGGGGCTAAATTGAAATTTGATGTAAATTTAAAAGGCAAAACATATATATTAACCATAAAATTATTAGTATTACAATAGTGTAATAAAATTTAATGGAGTCTTCTTTCATAAAACTAAAAGAATAAATAATTAACAAGTTTCAGTTCTAAATTAATAATTTTATGATCAAATAAAAAAAAACTGATCACAATTAGGGCTAGTAAAACAGGCTGATCTGTGGCGAGCTACGGGTCATACGGGTTAGGCTCAAAGGGGCCGTTTTCTGACGGGCTAGTATTCTGTCAACCCTAACCCACCAACTCGCTAATTTTTTTTATTTTTTCTTATAAATAATCAAAAATTAAAAAAATAGAAATGATTTAAATTATTCTAAGCATTCAAATAAAATTACAACACATTAAAACACAAAATATACAATTTTCCAAAGTCCAAACTCCAAATATGATAAAAGCACAAGTTCAAACATAAATTTTTCCAATAAAATCAACATGCAACAATGAATAATCATCTTGATTTAATTATCTTTAATAGTAATGACATTTGAAGTTGAAGCATTGTTTGAAGCTGACTCAATATTGATTTTGACAATAGTAGTTAGTAAGACTTCAGCTTTCTTGTCTTTCTAGAATTCCAGTCCACCTTCTCCCGATATTTTAATATATTAAAAAAAAATTTAGGTGGGTTCAACCTGGAGGCCGACTCGCAGCGAGCTCGGACTGTGGCGGTACGGGTTCATATTTTTCAGGTGGTGGCAGGTTGGCCAAAGGCTAACCCTAACCGCCATTTTTGGTGAGTTAGTGGGTCCAACCCATATTCCCAGCTCTAATCACAATACAACCTTCAAAAATTAACATATTTCATTTCATAATTAAACACATTTTAGTTCTAAATTAATAACTTTCTATCTTCATATACATTTGTAATATGTCTTGGATGAAACTTTATCATAATATCCAACCTTAAAGATAATATGTTTCATTTTTTAGTTAACACATTTCCATTCTAAACTAACAATTTTCTATCGGGATGAAATTATTAGAATTAATGGTAGAAGATTTAATATAAAAATTAACTTATCATTGACTCCTTGAACAATTTTTTGACTTTGTAATAGTAGACTTCAAGTTTTTCTTGTTTAAATTTCTTACGCAGCGCGAGAATGATAAAGAATCATCATCTCTATAGGCTTCTAGTGAAAAGGGCATTAGAGCCAAGTTGTGATTGGGGAATTTTTACAGAAATTACCATTCTAGCCTTTTAAATAGTTAATCAATGATATAATAAGGTTAACATAACCTAATCTAATCATGCGCTTTATTTATTTTATAGATGTAACTTGCGATGTTCGAGCTTAGAACTACTCTCAGTAATTATGAGGAACTCTAAGGGATAAATTAAAGACTCTAGTTACTTCTATTTCTATTGCTATTGCTACTACGAGAATAAAAGATGATAACATATGGTTATAACTATTTATTAATAAAGGTAAACTAATAAATTCTTATGAGTTTACGTCATTGTTATGAGTTCATTTAGGGTTTACAATTTAAAATTTGTGAGTTCGACAACCTTTAAGTTTGGTAATCCCAACAAGTCTCTAGTTTATTAATTAACTCTTAAATCCCCCTAATGTGTGGTTGATTCAATAGCATGGATTACCTTGCTTGTAATAGGTTCACTTGATCTGGGTAACCCCTAATTGATCATGAAAGTTCCGCATAACCATGACTCATAACCCTTAACACCGTTAACTCGACTCAACAAATTTAACAATACATACGCAATTAAATGCTAACATATTGTTGGCGAAAAAAACAGACATGCTAGTTTTTAATTTAAAATGTGTAAATTGAAATTTTTTTCTTAAAAAAAAACCATTAAGTTTGTAAGGACATGAAGGCACCTAGGTTTTTTTTTTAAACATATTTTTAATTTACACATTTTTAAACTAAGTCAGCATTTAATTATATAATTATCATTAAATTTACTAAATCAGCATTTTATGTTAATTGAGATACTAATAGTATTCACATTGAAAATCTCAATATTATCACCTTTTGTTAATGATTTTAGGATAAAAGAACTAAAAGTATAATTTTTAAAAGTTGAATCCCTAAATTTTTTTCCTGCTAAAAAGGACCAAATTAAAACTTTATATAAATTAAAAAATACTTTAGCCTTTTTATCAACATTATTTATGGAGAAGCGTCTTGGTGCATTCATTACTCTTTTAAACCAATACCAGATGAAAAAACTACCCAAGACGGGTAATTTTTAAACAGTAAAACGTCATATATTTAATTTCAATATCAAAGTAGTACTTTAGCAAAAGTTGAAACTAAAATCTACTTTTAAATGAATGAAGAGATATCTTTTTCAGTACTTTAAGCAAAATAATAATAATATCAAGGGAACAGCAATTACTATTCACATGATGAAAGTTACAAAAAAGATTAAACCTGCGCCTTTTCACTAATAAACAGACTCATGCTAATTCCTATTTTCTATTTCAAAGATGAAAGAAATAAAAATACAATACCCAATTGGGCTTCCGTGAACTAGATACAAATATAATCGTCGACTATGCTCTTCTAGCTTCTTAATCTAAATATAGGCGTGGAAGTAACAGTGATGTTTTGAACATTACTCTAAGGAATTTGAGCTATCTCCATCATAATTTTGTGGAGGGATTGTGGCTTAGAGAAGAATGGACAGTGGTCACTGCCTTTGATTTTGAAGACTCCTTCTGGTGGGTTTTCCCTCACCAGCTTCTCTTGAACATCCGGTGAAAGCGCATGATCGTCCAGTGTCTGAATATAAAACCGCCGGCCTGAACCATATTTCTCGGGTGACAAAGACAGCTTCTCCATGATTGGACCAAGTGGGCTAGGTCTCATGGAAGCCATGGCCAATGCAACATCCTGAAATGTGCCTGATGTTAAGTCTTATCATCCCAGTAAATTCTTAACAAGATTCTGCCTACCCATAAAGTTCATAAGCTAAGAAAATAATCAACATACACAAGCATATTTTGAAGCGTATCTCTAAAACGTATGTTTTTGTAGACGTCAATTCATGATTGTCTAGGTTTGCAATATTTTTGAACCAGTTATATATAAAACTTACCAAGCAAATAAGGGTATAATCACAAGGTTTGGCTGCACATGGATACAAGAAAATACCAGAGGAAATGGTCGCAGTAAATTGTATAAATTTATTAAAGTGCACAATTAGAAGAAGCATCGTATTTATGAGTTTAGCAAGTTACAAAGAATATTTTTGAAACACAAGCCGAAATTTTGCATACCATAATGTATGGTCATGATCTACCAAATGTAACCCATTATGTTTTCTCTAACATGGGCAGGTAAATGCTAGAAAGGTTTTTTAGAGATAAGAAAGTAATTCATACCCTAGCCAGAAGATAGAAGACATGAATACAGATGTGGAGAGCTAAAAGCAGCACAGAGATTCACTTAATGAAAATATCTCTGCCCCTAGAGAAAACCAGAACAACTTTCAAAGTTTTAGATATGTGTAGAAAATGCAATTGATTTTATAACATTTATGGCGAATAAAAAATGGTTGATACACAGTGATCATCAAAGTTCCAATGTCATTTGAGCATTCAATATACAAATGACAACGCTAATGCTCACTTCTCTTGCTTGGTACAATGGCTGTCTGCTATTGAAATTGCCCTGAAGCTCTTCCGAACAAAACCAGGCTATTTATGCAACTAGGCTCAAAAGCATTTCAGCTTTCCCCCTTCATCTTGTTTCATTCCTCTTCAATTTCTATCCTACCAAACAACATTTGGAGAAGAATTTTTTTTGCCCCCCTTAAATGTATGCATATCAAACAAACAAGCTTCTTTTTTTTCCCTTACATTGTTTTCATTTCATTATAATTTTCTTTTCATTTAAAACTCTTTTCAGCCCAATAATTGTAACCCTGGTTAGCACTTTGCTTACTCATGATTTCATTTAATGGTAGTTTGCATGTTCGTAGTTTACATAAATATTTAACACAATTTTTGACAGAAAATAACTCAAGGCAGCAATCCGTTAATAGAGCATTCCAAAGGGAGGCAATTTAGGTTTTAAGCAGCAGACGAACAGAGTGTAACCAACCTGATAAACAAGGGGATTATTTGACATGTACCAGAATGGAAAAACAAAAGGCCTTCGGTTCTGAGATTTGAATATTTATGTAGGAAGTGCAGCTTTTGGCCAAAAAAGTAAAATTGAATGATTCAAGTGCAGCAACCAAGCAAACTACCATGAAAACGGTATCTTGCATACCTTGGCTGGGGATTGGTTAAAATATAACCCTTTCATCAGCTCTTTCTCAAACATAAATCCTGTTGGGGGCTTTTCTTTTCCATTTCCATGGATCAAAAACTTTGATTCTCGCATAAACTGTTCAGAAGATCCAAGCTGCAATGCAATTATCTTGTGAGAAAAAGAATCAATTCTGTTATGTCAAAAAAAGAAAAACAATATGAACCAAGCAAAAATTGTCCTTTCATGAAAATAAAAAACATATCATAAGGAAAAATTCAATTATCACAATCTTTGCAAGGCCATGGCCAATAGAGTTCGCTAGGTGTCTGTTAAAGCAAAATATATGTTCTGCGCACAGAGCTGGAGAAAAATAATTCAGTTTAATACTTATTTTCATTTCCTAGGAACAATTTTCATTTTCAATTTTTAAACATTTTCTCAAATTTTAATTTTCAACCTCCCAAACATTCTCCATTGGAAACATAGGCAGAATTACAAAATAACACTCTGTTTCAAAGAATTCCACAAGATGGACTCTGTTTGCCAAGAAATGAGAAGGGCAAAACCAATTGAAACATGGTTTACTCCACAATTGCTGGTTTCATTGAACATTGAACAGAAAACCATGAAAGTAAGCACATTCTACAATTCACAAGTAGGAAGATTCTCACCCTAATATTTATGCATAGAATTTGTAATCTAGAAATATAAATAATCATTTAATAAATTTCAACCAACATATCATAAATTGAAGTAACACGTAATGTTCGTCATCATAGGATTTTCCCCATGGAACTATACATTAGTAGAGCTTGCGCAGCATAAGAGAGGAAAAGAGGGGTAACTACAACAAATTGGAAACAGAAAATTTAATTGGCATCCACATCATTGAGATCTTTCAGGATCCATTCTTCATACTTGAAATCTAAAATGTTCAGCTGGAAACATATACAAGTAAACCTTGATTAGGTACCTGATCAGCAAAAACATGAAATGGCTTTTGGCCATCAGTCACCATCGTAGCACAAAGGAAAATTGCTTTTGAGATCTTCTGGGAGTAGTGTTCCATTGCATAAGAAATGCAAGCACCACCAATGCTATGACCAACAAGAATAACCTGCGAAATTCCCATTTGCAAGAAATATAACAGACTGCAGGACACCAAAGTTAATATGCTTTAAGTTGCATGCATTTTAGAATGCCAAATGAAGTTTCTAACCTTTTCATCCTCAGGAAGCTTTTCAAGATAATCAACCAATGGTTTTGAATACTCTGCCAATGTAGTAACCTTGTTAATATCTGTGAGATCAATTCCAGAACCTGTGAGATCAAATGCTACAGGAAGCAATCCTGATTCTTCAAGAAGGGCTACGGTCTTGTACCAACACCAAGCTCCAAAACCTTCTCCATGGACTAAAACAAACTTCTTTATTTTTATGTTCTCCAGAAATTCTGGGTCCTGCGGAGCATGTAGTATAGAAGATTATGTTGTAATCTAAGAGCGAAAGTCATAGAAAGCCAGGTCACCACAATAAGTTCAAGAACTATTAAGCTGACTGTTAATCAATGTGCAAGCACACATTCAAAGCACAGATGTACAGATGAAGGACTGAACTCAGTTAAGATTCTTCAATTGTGTGCTGTCAGAACTGAAGGAGAAATTTTTGAAATACCCAAGCATGTAATCCTAATTTGGAAATTTTCATTTATTATATTTTTATTGCAGAATCAGGTTTCAAAAAAATAAACTAAACCTAGGTTTCTTCATAGTAGATGAATGATTTTCTTTTCCAGCACTAATACAAGTTCGCACTAAGTATATGTCCCCCAAACAACATTAAAATATGCGTACAATAGACTGAATTATTTAGCACCAAAACACAAAGAAAGTTACTAGTATCATATCATGCATGCACCATCATCTCAGATCTTGATTACGTGGACAGATCGCTCAACAAAATCTGGCACTAAATATGGTTGACAATGGTTGAGGACTAATATACAATACACGGAATATGTTAGCGATTGCTTACAGCACTTTCAAAACGATTGAACCCTACGTTATACAACAAGGATTTTGTGTGAAACTGTCACAAACACCACGGTTACACTTACAGATAAAAATAATCCAAAAGCGCGTCAGATCCAATAGCAAGCAAAAGGATGATTTCACATGAAATGTTAGGGCTGCTTGTGTCGCCGGCATCATTCACATATAAATTGAATCAGCTTATGGTTGCACAATGAATCAACGCCCATATTATTCCCCCTTTTTTCCCATTTTTTTCCTGGCCAGAAATCCTCTTATTCTTCCAACGCGCCTTTTAGCGCTTGAAAAGAAAGAAAAAGGCCTTGCTCTTTTCTATGTGCACTTTTTCAGACTAGGCTTGGACTATTGACTAAAGTCCCTTCTCATAGTAAATTGCTAGTATCTTCCACTAGCATATGCCCACAAACTAAAAATCCTTAATCATTACGACCCACTTTTTCCCACCGATCAAATAATTCAAGAAATATTTTTAAAAAAATGGCAATAACCCACAAGCATAGTCAAACTATCAATCTGGTCCCCGCACCTGTTTATTATTGGTGACCGAATCAGGCAGATTGCGTCTCCTAGAGCTTGTGGATCCAATTCTTCGCGACATCGACCCCTCAAACCTCTGAGACAATTGATGCTGTTGAAGTGCCATAGACAGAGCTTGGCGATGCAAATACTCTTCCTCAGCTAACAGCTTCCTCTGTGATCGATTCATTCTCTTGCTTTTCGATCCCACATCTTTTGAATCTTTCTTAGTCATGCAAATAAACCGGTTACCCATGTCTGCAAAACCTATTCTCTTCAAACAAGTAGTTTTGCAGCGAAATCTGAAGCTAAGAGGTTGAAGACCTGGAAAAACTGTGTGGAAGCGAAGGCACCGATAGCATTGCCTTACTTCTACAGCTAGAATTGCTCAGAATCTTTCTTTGCGCTTTGTCTTTTTCCTTTGCTGGTCTAAAAGACTCGAGAGTTGTTGAAGAAAAAATAGAGTAAGAGGGAGAGAAGTCGTTGGCCATAAATGCAAAAATAATTGAAATTGTGCGAATATACAACTCAAAACCCAACCGATTTTAGAGGATATTAAATGCTTCTCACTTCTCTCCACGATGCTGTGCGCTCTTCATATCTCTATCGTTTTCATCTACTCCGAACCAAAATATTCATTTTTGCCTCTTTGGCCATTGATTTTGCAGTTTACTTTCCCACCCAAAATTTTCAATACAACGGCTGCCAGGTCAGAGAAGTTAGGCAAGTGCTCCTGCTTTTTGGTATCTCATACGTAAATATTGCAGCTGTATTTAAGGTGTAATGATAAATAAAAAAAATAGAAAAACCAGTTCTAAATTCTAATCATCATCAAATTCAAAATTACCAATACCCTAAAAATTAATTAAAATCGCAGTTTTTTGGGAAAAAATTGCTGTAATATTTAAAAACTAACCTTATTTAAATGATAAGTTTTTATGACAATTATAGTTGTTTTAAAAATTAAATTTAATATGGTAGTACTTAAAAATATCTCAATGTCATTATTTTTTTAATAATTTTAAGGTTAAAGGACTAAAAATATACTTTTTAAAGTTAAGAGACCAAATTAAAACTCTCTATAAAAATGAAGGACTAAATATACAATTTAACCTATTATTAATTGAGGTACAAAGTTAGAAAACTTAAGTTACATCATTTTAAGAGAAGTAAAATTAGAAAAATCTATCACTTTATAATAAATTTAATGACTTAACCATGATCTCTTGATATAAAATTATTAGTTGAAAGTGACTTATAATAAAGATAAGATCAAGTGGGTTCACAAAATCATTACACAATTCTTGCCCTGTTTTGGAGGCTGTAATGGTCATGTCACTTATGATCAGCATGTCATGCAAGCCAATCAGCATGGATGTTAACTTCTGTAAGCACATGATAAAAGGATTATAGTATCATGACATAAAAAGCTTTTATAGATATGACATTTATAATGTGCAAATAGCACAAAGTTGCATCATAACAACAATACACCGGCACAAAATCTTATTTGCATAGAAATAGGGAAAAAAATTTAACGTATGCTCCCTAAAAATAGAAATATTGAATGCATCTGTTCTCATAATACAATACACCGGCACAAAATCTTATTGGAACATTATATAAGTATATACATATATTCCATAATTTGCAAAAGCTATGCAATTCAATTTGGCAAACTACCACCTCTGATTCCATACATCAGGCTTTAATTTGTCAGATTTGCCCGTTTGCCAACACCTAATTTCAAATGTCCACATAGACAGCTTAAGGATATTTTAGAAACAGTTTAAACGTATGGGCGTTTAAAATGTGCAACTTTTATTAGGCATGAATTTAGAAGTTCTTAAATTATTTCAAAATCGTGAAAGTTCTAACTAAAATACTCCTCTGGTTCTTAATATAAGACCCATTTAACTAATTTGATTAGATTAAGAAAGTTAGGTAAGTTAGTTAATTATAAGAAATGTGACACATTTTTCCTAAAACACCATAATCATCTTTCTTAATACCCCCTCTCCCTCTTCTACTTGATTATGGTTGAGAGAGTATCCATAGGGGTAATTTAGAGAAAATTGATAAATATGAGAAATGAGTCTTATATTTAGGACCAAAACTAACTCAAGAATTGGATCCTATATTAAGGACCGGAGGAGTATATATTAGTTGTATTTTAGTTCTTTATTATGTAATTTCACATCTAAAAATATTTAAAATATGAGTTGTTCCTAAAATTATTCATATCATTTTATTTGCTTTTTTCGATATATATTACTACTTTTGGTCCTAATTATAAGACTTTGTTTATAGATTACAAATAAGGTTTAATAATTATGATCGGAGGTAGTACTTTTATAAGTACAAACAATAATCGATATGGATATAGTGCGTGAAAACAAAATCTCTTCTTTTTTTTTTTTGGTAGGAACAAAATCGTTTGTAACAAAAGAAATGCATTTATGATACATTTAGACATACATAAATGTTTTCCACGGGACGTTGCCTGTGTGAGATAAATACTTCTTTTAAATTTAGAGTTTGTATTTGAATGATAAATACCTTAGGCTACATCAATGTCCATAAGTGGACTTTGTATTTGAATAATAAAAATAAAATATGATACGGCTATTGTCCCCATGTTAGTCGCATAATATTAAAAATAAACAATTGCAGACGAAGAAACGAATAAATCAGGAGGAGTTGGCTCACCCAAAAAAATTTTAAAATTAAATAAATGAATGAATGAAGATTTGCAAACAAACACAGACGCACAAAATCTGGAGGCTATTTTCGTTTTCAACGCGCACAACATATTTAATGTCAGCGAGTCGCTGGATTCTAGTATGCCCCAAAACCTTCATTTTTAATGCCCTTATACTGTCACTCGAGCGCACATCGTTGTGTAGGCAAAATGATGAATGAAGTTGCCAATAAGAATTGATCTAATTAGTAAGTTGTCAATTCATAATCTCATAAAGCCTTAAGTTTAAATCCTGCTATCAATGTGAGAACCTTATTAATGGATGATCTGTAAGCACTTCTATAAATATTATGTGAGCTTAAAGACATGTCTTAACTCTTAACCCTAATAAGCTCTTAAAATCTAATTCACCTGTAAAAAAAATGATGAATGAAGTTTATATTTTTGCTAAAACATAAGTATCTTCCTATTAGAGACAATCATATTCGAGACATTATCAGGCATTAAATGTGGGTACCTCTCCCAATAGAGATTCGAACATTAATTTGCCACGTTATGAGAGACTAACCCCTTCCGCTAGACCCAACTCCTATTTGGTGATGAATGAAGTTTATTGATGCAAAGATTTTCAACAAGACAAAGGCATAGAATGCTCAAAATTTTACATTTATGCGATTGTTTTTCATTAGAAAAAAATTGAAAGTAAAAAATTCAAAATGGAAAAAAAAATGATTTTGGGAATGTGACAATAGCCCTTGCTAAGTGTTAAAATCCCAAAGTTTTGACGATAACAATGAATTGAAAATAAGGTCTTTCCCGGATGCATAAAAAAATTAATTGAAAATAAGATATATTTCTCAGGTTCATCAAGTATAATACTGGAGAGTAGAGCCAGGAAAACAGGCCAAACCCGTTTAAGTCCTGAAATTATGAAGGTCGGGCTTGAAATTTTTCCCCTTAAATGGGAAATAGGCCCTAAAGGGCTGGCCCTAGAGGACTGAGGGCTTAAAAGGGCCAGCCCGTTTAGCCTTTTTATATTTCTTTTTTTAAATTTATTTATGTAATTCTAATATTATTAATTTTTTATATTGTTAATAATATTTCAAATATTTAGTTATTATTATCATTTTAAAATTAAAATTTACAGAATGATTTGATTTATTTAGTTTTAAACAATAATTTATCTAATTAAATTTTTAAAAAATGGGTTAATTTGGACTTTAATAATGATTTGATTTATATTATATGTGTTGATATTTTTAAACCGATATATTTGATAATAGAGTGTTTTTATACTTGTATAACTTGTGATTCTATAATTTGAATTAGAATTTCATGAGTTTCAACAACAATGTTTCTCACATTAAAGTAAAATAATAGTTGGATTGCAAAATTTAAAAGTAAAATTCATATTAAAAAAACTTGATGTTTTTGTTACGAAAGAAAAACATACTTATGAAGAAGAGTAATTGATTATAGTGATGATGAAGTTTCAAAAGATTAATGATAATGTTTATTTATTGCACAATTGCACTATAGATAAAACTTTTGGATGTTGTTATCTTGTTAATAAATGTTTTAGATGTTCTTGGATGTTGATGGATATTTATATATGATGATATTTTGTATTTGTGACTTAATTTTATTTATATTTATGTTTTTTAATAACAATTTCATTGGTTTATTTTCATTTCTTGATTAAAAAAAGAGAAATATAAAAAAATAACATTTTTTCTTAAACGAGCCAAAAGCTCACAGGTCGGCCCTGAGTGCGTTAGCTTAAGGGCCGGGCTTAGTAAATTAGAGTATTTTTAAAATTTCGGCCTTGAAAGGCCGACTCTAATTCCCACCTCTACTGGAGAGTCCCTTAGCTTGGGATTTTATTTTGGAAAAATCGCAAAAAAAAATCTTGAAAATATAAAAATTAAAAAAAAAAAAAGATATGTTACAACATTGGTATTGATTTTGATAACAATTAGTAAGCAAATTATAACAATTTTGTGGACAGTTCCCATAAGCCCAATTTTAGTTTAAAGGGAATTGAGTTCAACCTATTGAAACTTTGGATTGGTTCGAATTTACTCTGAAGATTTGCCAAATTTGTTTTGCTTCTATTAGGTCTTCAAAACGGCGTTGAGGAAAACTTTTTGGTCAAATCCAAATGATCCTTAAGGTCGAAGTACTTTTTGTAATTGAATTTGCTTTAGATTGGACATTAGTATACTTCCGCTTTTTTCCTTTGGTGATATATTTCAGCTTTCTTCATCCTTCTTTTTTCAAAAAAAAAAAAAAGAAAGAAAAGAAACTACTAAAATTTGATCTATGTAGCCCTAGCCAATCAGAATTTTGAAGACTACATTAGAACTAAGAAAACAAAAATTGGAGTACATAAATCAAATCAAAGTGGTTTGAATTGGACTTAATTTTCGCAACTGCATTAAATATGGCTGTTCGGTGGCTATTTCTCGAAGTAATGACTAGTTTTTATATCTGATGGAGGACAGAAACAGAGAAAAACTATAAAGACCTACCCAATTCATTTCGAGAACAATAGAAACATTGAAAATGAGCCAAACTGCCCAAAGAGAAGAAACCACTTGGATGCAGATGGGTTTTTCTTCAGTAAAATAAAACCCAGTGGGGTGCATTACTAAGAAGTTTGCTCCTAGGGCAAAAATGACCACGTCAAGATGCTTTTTCACTAGCTAAACCGCTTCAACAAATTGAAATAGAAAATGATTTTCTTCATGGAAATTCCCAGGAAGATGTGCGTGCGTGCAGATTCTTCCAGGGGTTTGAATCAAAATAGAAGCCTCTAAGGTGAGCATGTTTTAAGAAAGCATTGTATGATCTCAAGCCATCTCCAAGGAAATCATCTGAAAGGTTCACAATTGTGATGATAGCCAAATGTTACAAACAAGTCAAGGAGACCACACTTTGTCAAGCACAAATTTAGGAGTTACTGCTCTAGTTGCATATGCAGATCACATTCTTGTAACCAAAACGAAAGAGGAACTCCAAAAAGATGTCTGGCCAAGGAATTTGAAACAAAGCATAAAGGAACGTTGAAGTGCTTTCTAGGAGCAGAAAGGACAGCTGAAATGCTTTTCAGGAATTGAAGATGCTTATTTCAGCTAAAAAATGTGGCAGATTAGTTGAGAGAAAGTGGGAGACTTGATATATACTCCAAGAGACTCAAATCACCAACTTGGAGAAGCTAATAAAGAAACCAAAGTTGATTGGTGGATGTTCCAAATATCAGTAAGAAAACGACTCTACACATCACCTACCAGGACAGAGACAGCACCCATAATAAGCCAATATATGCCTAAACCTTAGGAGGTAAATCTACAAGACAAATATCATATCCCAAACTAAAATGGTAATGTTGAGCAAGGCATCCTGTTCTTAAAGGACCAATAATTAGCACCAAGTTCATATATTGCCCTTTTCTTCGAGTTACTTGGATAAGGAAGAAATAAAATGAAGTAGCAAGATCAAGTGCTAATGCGAAATTATAGCAATGACACTAGGAATCTGCGAAGTGTTGTGGTTTAAAATCATCATAGAAGATGCGAAGATTAAAATGGGATAGCCCAATGAGACTATTGTGAAAACAGCAAGACTTAAGAATACCTACATTGAAATATATACACCTCAGCCAGGAATGTAAAACATCTATACACCAACTAAAGGGACAGTTAAAAAAATAGAAATCATGACACTTGGGATTTTTTTCTCTTTTAGGCCAGCATAACTTTTGGGATAGAATCATTACAATTAAGTTGAATCACCTATTTAGACGGCCTTTTTTTTATTTTTAACTAAAGTGTATTAAGTTTAATGGCCTTGCATGATTCTCTCATTCTAGAGGGGAGCAGATAAGTCACCTTTAATACGCTCGATTTTAACCTAACATTTTCACAGGCTCTGGTAAATAACACTGCGAGATGACACTAGGATCTCTCTTTTCACAGACATTAGATGTCATGACTTACTATTGGGACCAATTTAGAAAAGACTAGTGGATTTGCTTCACAAAATTAGCAAGTGGTTAATCAAATTCTGAGAACATGTTCTGGAATTTAAAATGTTAAACAAGCATACATACAATAAGATTCAAGCAGTAACGTAGGAGCATTCCAATACATGTGCTGTTATTTACCAAATATGAAAGAAAACTATATATCTGACTGGATTGCAGTATCCTGAGGAAATAAAAGAAGAAACAACCTACCTATCACAGGCATTATATTTTGACTTCTAATTACAAATATATCAAAATTCTAATATGAAAGACTAACTTATGCCTACAAACAAAACACAAGTCTTAAGAAACAACTAGTAAAAATCATATAAAACGCCGCACTTATACATATAAATACCAAATGTGTGTTGGGCATGTGCTTAGTGTGCATCCTCAGCCAGTGCACATTTGCCTGCTCCTGTTTGTAGTTTATTAATGCCACAAATTATAGCCTTCCATTTTTTAGTTCATATAGCCTGGACCATCTCTTATCAATAGAACTGTTTACCCCTCCAGTATCTGAAACAAAAACGTTTCTTCTCTATGAATCATCAACAAATACATGTAGCCACATTAAACTTCAAAAGCATAAATATAAAATTCGGCATGACATATATATCAGTTGAAATGTGCCAGTCTAACTGTGTGTGTGTGTGTGTGTGAGAGAGAGAGAGAGAGAGAGAGATTGTACACTGACTCCCCTTTATAATTAAACATAAGTGGCATTACTCTATGTTTTTAAATGTCTTAAATTATTGTCATTATTCAAATCAAATCCATTATAATTATATTATCTGACTTATTCATGTACCAAAAATTCAGAAACTAACTTTGACTATTTCATCAAGATGAGTTCTTTAATACTCTTTATTTTACATTTGTTCACCCCCCTTTTGTAAAACAAATTTTATTTTGACATCTCCATACGCTGTAAGATGCATGTCAACTTAATGCCACATGCTGCATCGCTGTCGGAATGAGTTCAACATGACACTTCTAAAAATAGGTGTGTTCATGCTTGTTCTTTTTTCCCCCCCATTGCCACCTGTTCATGCTTGTTCATCAATTATCCTTTTACTTTTTGAAATGACCTTGTTGGAGCTTCATATGGTTGATTAACAAAAGCAAAAGGAAACACTGTCATCATTATCTAGTTCTCAACAAATGCTTACACTGTAATGTAGCCTCAGATTTCTCACACAACTCTGAGCAAGTATCCTGCAAAGAAAGGGTGAAAAGAGGACATAAAAGTGGTTTGCATTGCATATTAAACCTTAGTTAGGAAACAGTGTAACTTCTAAAATGTGTCATTATGATCTGCAATTATTATTAACATCCAACCAAACTAATCAGCCAAAAACAGTTACTTGAAATTCTCTTTCATTTGTCAAATTTCAAATTTATCTCAACAATAATATCATAAGACTGGTGCAATATAGAATTAGAAAAAAAAAACAGACCACAGAATTTTTTCCGCTGACAAGTGAAGTTGACTTTCAGTGATAAAACTGTTCATTGTTTTAACATCTACATTGTCCTTTTCATTAAATTAAGGGTCAAAATATAATACAGTAACTAAATGATACCATAACAGATCATAAAAGATTGAGTGAAAATTAATGAATGATAAAATTCAATTATTTATTTCCATCATATTATACTTTGACTGGGGTGCTTAGCCGAATGGTATCTTGTATGAGACAATCAAGATCAGCTTCATTTCCCGGTCTAACATATATAACCTGCATTTTATAAGTAGGTGTATCAGATAACCCTTGGTTATAGACAATAGTATTGGCCGTGACAACAACAAAAGATCCATATCACAAGAAAGGAGATCAGAACTTTATATTGCTTTTACTTACAAAATTTATTGCAAAACCTATATTTTCAAGCCAACATCAATTCTATAGCTAATTTAGTTTAGTGTTATATCAAAACAAAATAATAAGAAGGTTCTGCAAGTTAAAGAGTACATGCTTGGTATATTTCATTAGAAACTACAGCTACGGTGAATTCAAGCCTGAAACAAGAATTAAAAAAACTGAACAATTACAAGAAATATATGGTTCCGTGGTGCTGTAGTTCCATTTCCAATAACTTCAAGAACTCCTTGAGATGTTATCATCAGTGGATCTATAGAACTTACAACTTATTTGTATTGGTTAGTATTTTGAGCTCTTCAGTCACATGGGCTAGCTGTTTAGTTCCCCCAAAGATCCTGAACTATTGGCATGAGAACCTTCTATAACATCCTAGGTGGTTGAAACTATGTTGCCAGCTGGTGATGCAGTAATGCAAATATTTACTTGTATTTTTGTGATTTGTAGAGTTTTACTGCAAAGAAAATGTCTGGGGTTAATCAATATTTAAAACTTAGATCATTTGCCAACCTAAGACCTGCATCTGCCGATAGCAAGAAAGCCTTGCTGATGACAACAAACTAATGCACACTTTATGTATATATCCCAAAGAGTTCAAGGCACCAACGAGAAGAGATTGCTCTGTTTTTAAAATACCTGAGCATTCAGAGGAAATCATGTCTTTTTTCTGTTTTTAAAATACTTGAGCATTCAGAGGAAATCATGTCCTTTTTTTTTTTTTTTTTTTGTTAATTTTCAAATTGTTAGATTTATGTACAAAGCTCTTAGCTCCGTGATGTTTTGCTGGAAACTCATAGAAAGGCTTTACTAGAAAGCCTTCCACCCTATTGGCCTTTCAGTGATAAAACTGTTCATTGTTTTAATATCTACATGGTTTAATATATTTTCTGTGCTCATCTATCACCAAGTCATAAATCTATACCTTTGTATACCAAACATTTCAATATATTTTCTTTATATTATTTTTAATATCTAAAAATTTGACAAAATAAATTGATTGGGTTAGAGACTTAAAGAAGGGTCACCGCCAATATCAGGTAGCTGTATATTTTGATTATCTCTGCTTGCCAAGAGGATCCATACTTTAAATTTTGCATCAATCTGTAAAATTTAATAGAAATAGAGACAGTCATAATTAAAGTGGAATAAATAACATAACATAAAATTGATCCATCTATTTCTCATGTTCTACAGCTCAATTTCAATGTTACAAATGCCAAAATGATAAATCAGATACAGGTCAGTTTTCCAGAAATTGCTTCTTAAACGAGATTCAAGCTTAAGAGAATCATTTTATGCTCTTAAAATACTCTCTAGATGGACATAGGATGTTATAAGTTGAATTTGGAAAAGGACATCAAGCCTTTGGGGATTTCTCATACGTAGCAAAACAAAGCTTCGCCTAAGGGAACCTAAGAACATGGTGGTGGACAAGACTATTTTATTTTAAACTGCAATTTCGGACCTCTATCCCCTTCATGGACCATATCATGCTATCCAATGGCATCAACTAAATCATGCTATTGTTTTTTTTGGCAAGGTTCAATAACGAAGACGCAAAAAATTAATGCAGTACTAGCCAACTTGAGATCAAGCCTATTCTATCATAGGTACTTCCTCTTGTCCTTAATAGAAGAGCTACTTGGGGATTAAATTTGGTCCTAAATTGAAGATCTCAGCCCACTTTGTCTCCTAAGTTTGTAATTTATTCTCTAAAGTATCCCTATTGATTAAACATATCAAGGGTTGCCATCCAATGGCAGTTATAATTAAAAAACTTCAGAAAAATCAACTTATATTTGTTAGAAATAACTAAATTAACTAATTTCCTTAATCTACTCAAATTAATTAAGTAGCTTTTATATTAAGAACCGGAGGTAGTATTATTTAAATATGTCTCACAATAAATTATAGAACCGCATTATCTGTTCTCAAAAATTTCACAAAGATTGCTTTAAAGGTTAAAAACAGAAACTTTTTAGTAATAGGAAACAAAATACCTGTCGGCAATAAGGTGCAGAGCAGTTACTGCATTTACGAGTGAAGGATGTCACAATGTTTCCATCTACCGTCAAGCCAAAGCTAGCATGCTGGTACATTGTAATAAATATTATGGTTAATTGAAATAAACTATCTCCACACCAAAGCTATTCCAAGTTTTTTAATAAATTATTAGAATAAAAATTAAAAGGAAAAACGTTAAGTGATGCATATGATCTTGCCACATATGTAAAAAAATGAAAAGAGGAAGAACCTTTTGGATGCTGAGGCTGACCAACACTTGTGCATTTTTCTTTTTGTCCTCTTCAACTTCAACCAAATCTTGTAATTGTAGGTCTTGCAAAGTTAATTTGTAATCGCTTGTCCATTCACCATGCCATTTTCCATCACCAGTTGATATTGTGACTAGACGACGTGGTGCTCTAGTTGTCTTTCCAATCTGTTATGCAGCAAAAAATAAGTGGTAAATAAAAAAGGGTTGGCTCGGAAGCCAATTAGATTATTTTATCATTGGAAACAGAAATCACTGCTTAATGTGTTTCAATTGCCTTTGCTTTTTCTTTGTGATGATGAAAGCTGCAACTAAATTTGCTTTAGGATATGTTTGTCATCACTAAAATTTTTTGCAATGAACTTATTGGCAATAAGAACTTTTATTAGCCACTAAAAAGTTTTACAGCAGATTTATTAATTAAGAAATCTCTTATTAATTGGCCAAAAAGATTGTTATAGAATCATTTCAAAATACAAAAGCCCTAATTTCTAACACGAAGAATACGAAAATGAGTAAATCTTGGGTGAATTAAAAACACATCAAATAGAAGTGAGGAATTTGGGTTAGTTAAAGAACCTTGTTCGATTTCTCAGTGGTGGATTGCGACACAGGGATAAGCAGCGAAATGAGGCTCAAGGATAGGAAGAGGGCCGTTATCCATCTGACTCTTATCATTTTCTTTCCTTCTTTCCTTTTAAAAAAGATTAATGGAAACAAAACGGTCCAAGATACAATTAATTAGTAATCAACATGAACGGCATGGAAATTAATATCTACCGCTCTGTGATTAATCCAATTTCAATGAATGTATTAAGTTGATTTTTTTTTTTTGCCAGCTAATGTATTAAGTTGGTAAAACTTTTTAAGTTTATCTTTATCAAAATTTTTTCTCTCTTTATATTTATAATTTATTCTCATCTCTCTCATATTTCTCTTTTTCCAACAAAAGTTAAGTAAAAATTAAATTGAAAAATATTATAAAATCTTCCACATGATTTATAATAAAAACTGGAGTAATAAATTTTGTAATTTGACTTTCTTTTTAATTAAAGTCTTATAATTTTTTTTAAATACTCCTTTGGTCTTATTTATAGAACAAAGAGGGAACATATTTTTTTATCCTATTTATAAGACACTAAGAGAAATTTTATGTATGAATGTACAATTTACCCTTCATTTATTACTATATTAATTTTGCTTATATAAGGTATAATGTATATTAAATAGAGAAAAAATTAAAAAAGTTATTGAATTTTAAATAATAGTTAATGAAGTTTAAGATTTTTCTTAGTTTGTATTCAAAATGTTAAAAATGACATATAAATAGAACAAGAAGGGTATGTCAAATTTTTTAGTCTGACGTCAAATTTAATATAACTACTCTTGTCTATTTTATTAGATTGTTATAATTTTCTCAATTATAACTGCTAGTTTCTATACCTTTTTTATTGACATTAGTTTCTATAGTTATAATTTACTAATTATTAATTTGTAAGAAAAATGATGTTACTAGCTAATGATTTGACTCTCTTAATATATACCTAAACTAAATTTGCCACACTTTTTACCAAGACTAATTTGATCTCACCGATTTATATAAAATGAAAATATAATAACTTTTTATTTATACGTTGAAGATGAATAAATTTTAATTTTTTTAAAAAATATCTTTTTATTTTATACTACCTCATGTTTTTAATATAAGAGCTAATTTAATATTTAATTTGGTCTTAAATATAATACCATGGTTCACTTTATCTCTTATATTTATCCACTTTTTCAAAAATAGTTATTATAGTAATTGTATATGTTAAAGATTTTATCCAATAGTAGTTCTAGTTAATAGACATGATTAACAAAGATATTCTATAAAAGATAATACTTATTTATTATGAATAACAAACTTAACAAATTTTTTTAATCTATTCAAATTAATCAATTAATTTTTATATTAAGAATCAGATCTAATATTTTGTTATATAGCTTAGGTAGTGTTCACAACAACATTGATCAGAAGATTATGAAACTAGGGACTAATGATTAACTTTCGTACGCGACTCGTTGAAACTTGCCAGATTAACCATAACATACGTATTTCATTTCACATTTGAGACTATCAAAACCAAACCCGCAACAGTGGCGTTCGGCATTCAGGGCTAGTATCAAGGCGCTTAGCCTATGCAAACTCAAGCAAAGCACTCAAAATTAAGTTATGAGTCATAACACTTGCCTCAAGAAGCTTGCCAGTGAAGTTTCACGGTTAAAGAAGTGTTATCTTTTTAGTGCAATCATCATCATATCCGGTTAAAGAAGTGTTATCTTTTTAGTGCAGTCGTCATCATATACTACTTTCGTTTTTAATTATAAGATCTTGTCTGTAGACAACAAGGTCTTATAATTAGAACTGGAGGTAGTATATGTTTTATTTTCATTCTAAATGTAAAAATTAATAATAGGGTTTATTTTGATTTTAAATATAAAAAATTAATTCAATTTATCTCTTAAATTTATAAATTATAATAAATTATCTCTACTGATTGGAAATATTATAGGTTTTTTAAGGAAATAGTTTTTAATACTAATAATTAAAATGAGCAGTACTTTAAAGAAAATTTTACACATTTTTCACAAATAATTAATTTTGTCGCCCTCTACAAATTAATTAATGCCTCTAAAGGATTAATTTGACCGATATTCATGCCACCCTGCTCAACCCGAGCTGACCGATCTCACCCAATCTAGCTGGTCCGAGCAAGCAAATAAAAAAATGATTCAATGACCAAATCCAGCCTGGTCCAAAGTTTTTAAATTTTAATTCTTAAAAAATACGCTGCCACTTTCTGTCTTTACTATATATAAGAGTTACATAGCTAATACAGAGATATTAAACAATTTAATTAAGTTAATTATTTATAATAAATGTGTGTTTGCTCTCCTAAATTATCATTTTTAATCATGTCTATTAGAACTATCCTGATGAGAACTTCTTAATATGTACAATTAATAAAGACACTTTAAAAAAAGCTTATAAATTTAGAAAACAAATTAGATTAAAGTCTTATATTTGGAACCAAATATAACCTTCCAACTAGATATACTAAATTGGAATATAAGATATTTTATCTAAGTTCAAGAAAATTATACATGTAGTATCAATTACTTCCTCCAACTACTTGGATATGAGATTTTATATTTAGAAGGAAATCAATAGTGTTTAGATAAATCGCTCTATCATGACTTCTCGCATCCAAATTTCTTCTCCTCTGTTCTTTGTTGTCTGTCACTTTGGCCTTACAGACTTTTTAGCTCATATTACCATATGTGATGTTTGATTTAAGAAATATATTGACATCTACTTGGGGCCTATCAAGCCGTTATCATTAATTTCTTTCTGATTGGTATAGAATTGAGATTCGATCAGAACTTAGTGAATACAGAGAAGCCGTGCTCAGATTCAAAGAACACAATTAATTAACCCCAGAACGAATATATAGAAATCCAAGAATTAAAGGACTAAGCAAGTAATTAAAAGAGATAATTAATTAAGAAGCTATATATATATATATATATATATAAGAGATAATTAATTACGTACCAATGGCGAGTGAAGGTGCTTGGGTTTGTTGGAAGAACTAGAAGCAGAGATAGCATTATTGCAAGTCTGAAGAATGCTGAGAGATTTGGGTTTGGATTTCGGAGATGCCAAGTGAGGAGACGAATTCAAAAGTGAATATGCCAGATTTGCAGATTTCGCCATAGCTCGCTCGCTCGCTCGCTCTTCACCTCTCGACAAAATCTTTACCAAAAAGATATATATATATATATATATATATATATATGAGATATTCCATGTATCTTCGTATTTATGTGTAAGTTTAACCTTATCTGCGGCGTGTGCTTCTGCTTGCGCCTCGTTGTGTATGCGTAAAACCAGTTAGCATCGTCGGTCGTCACACTTGGGCCTCAGATATGTTCCGCACGGTCCTCATTTTAGTCCAACAAACAACTTACCCTGATCCATCTTGAGTCCGTGTTCAAATCTTTACAGTTACTCATATTTAAAAAATATTTAGCAACTCCTAAAAGTCCTTCTTATAAGTATTTTTATGTAAAACGAGATAAATTTTTTCATATATTTACTTTGTAAATCATAAAACACTTTTAAAACTATGGTTTGGTTTCCATTCAAACTTCCTTTTACTATTATCTCGAAACAACTTTATTTTGCTTTGAGTTTTTTATACTACCTCTAGATCTAGATTTTTTTTTTGTTTTCTTGATACTTAAAATTTTTAAATTATATGATTAAAAATATTTTTATTCTACATTAAACATTTAGTAGAAAATATTATAATTTTAAACACAAATCTAAATCATCCATCCTAAAAAACCTCCCAAAGCCCGTTTGAAATTTTAATAATGAAATGGAATGAATAAATTATTAATAAAATTGAATGGAATGGAATGGAATAAAATAATATTTACAGAGCAACATGACTATGACATTTTTATTTTATATTGGCTTTATAGTTTCGCCTCAAGTTTTAAACAAAATATTTAAAATCATAAAACAATGCCAACTATATATTGAAAGAAATGACTACGTCTATGCTCTATGAACGAAAAATATAAAAAAAATGATATAAAAAGAAGTTGAAAATTATAATATTCTAATTTAGGTACCTAACAAGTTAAAATCTCAGGAGAGGAAGTGATGTCAATTTGATATTTTACAAATGTAGTTAAATAACAAAAATGCCCTTGTATTAAAAAGTTTATTAACAAACTGTAAATTCACAATGATAAATGTTAAACAGCAAATGACAAAAAGTATACTGAAAATAATAAGTTATTTATTAATAAGTTGCGAGTTGACAACTAATGAAAAGTAATAGGTAATGACAAGTTTAATACTCCTCCGGTCCTTATTATAAGACCCCATTTGACTTTTTATTTGGTCCTAATTATAAGACCCCAATCCATTTTGTCTCTTATATTTATGCATTTTTTTTCCAAGATAATCCTTCTAATAATGATAGTTTTAGCCAATATACTTAATTAGCAAGGATATTTTAGAAATGACAACACTTATTTATTATAAATAACCAACTTAACTTACTTCCTTAATCTCCTCAAATAAGTCAATTGGGTCTTATAATTAGGATCGGAGGAGTAACTTTTTTTTTTAAAAGTTATATAGGAATATTTTAGTTATTTGGCTATATTTGTATAATATCGGGCAGATATCACTTTTTTTCCCCTGATATTTTGACATTTTATTAGCGAATATTGTAATTTTTAATTTTTTTATGTCATTTTTCCAAAAATATATATTTAAAAAAAAAGAAAGAAAGATAATCAAATTGTACAACCGACAATTTGAATCCCCGACCACAAATCTTATTTTGCGATGCCTACGTCTCTCCCTGAACCCATTTCTTTTGGATTTTCTTTTTATAGAATCCCCATTCCCCTCCTCGCCGCTTCATCGCTCAATCTCAGTCCTCGTTAAGGTTCGAATCTTTCTCTCTCCCTTTCACTACTGTTGAATTCTTTGGACTCATTTCTCTCTGAGATTTCGGGAAGAAACGGAAACACGCCGACAATTGTCTGCTTCAAGATCTGCATCCTCAATCTCGCTTCTGGTACTCTCTCCAGCTTGATTTATGTCTTCCATTTGATTTGATTCTGCATTGATTTGTTTCCCTTGCTTCGTGTTTATATGAATTACTCAACTATGTTTGATTGGGACGGTCTTTAGTGGGAGGCAATGCAGTTCTTTTGGTAACAATTACAAGCTGTAAACGAGGGAAGCATCATATTTAGTGTTCTTGTTTTCTGTAATTTCGTCTGGAGGCGATTGGGGATGATTTATCATTTTTATCCTTTTTTTCAGATCAATCATTGATTTGTTCTTTTCTGGGTTCTGAACAATAGGCATACACATTTACCTTGTGCTGAGATGACTTTGAGTAATGGCAAAGTTGAGCCACTGAGTAGTTGTAAGGGAGATTCGGAGACGCCTTTCAGGATCTTCGTGGGGTATGATCCGCGTGAGGACATTGCGTTTGAGGTGTGCCGCCACTCAATCTTGAAGAGATCTTCGATTCCTGTTGAGATCATACCGATCAAGCAGTCAGATCTGAGAAATAATGGCTTGTATTGGCGTGAAAGAGGCCAATTTGAGAGCACCGAGTTTTCCTTCTCAAGATTCCTGACTCCATGCTTGGCCAATTACAAAGGTTGGGCAATGTTTGTGGATTGTGATTTCCTGTACTTGGCAGATATTAAGGAACTGAGAGACTTGATTGATGAAAAGTATGCCATAATGTGTGTTCAACATGACTACGCTCCAAAGGAGACAACAAAAATGGATGGAGCGGTTCAAACAGTGTATCCCAGAAAGAATTGGTCTTCGATGGTGTTGTACAATTGTGGGCATCCCAAGAACAGTGTCCTTACGCCTCAAACTGTGAATAAAGAAAGTGGTGCTTTCCTTCACAGGTTTCAGTGGCTTGAAGATCATGAAATGGGGTCAATCCCATTTGTGTGGAACTTCCTTGAGGGTCATAACAGAGTGGTTCCGGATGATCTAACCACATTCCCAAAGGCCATCCATTATACTCGTGGAGGGCCATGGTTTGAAGCTTGGAAAAGCTGTGACTTTGCTGATCTCTGGCTTAATGAGAGGGAAGAGTACCTAAAGAAACAGAAAAAAGAAACTGCTAGTTAGATTGATTGAATTAGCTCATGCTACGGTCTAGTATAATTATGCATCCCCGATATTGTTGCTTGTATTTTGTTGAGAGTTATGTGTCATTTATGATTCTTTATTCCAAAATTTGTTGTGTAAATTTGAACTCACGTTATGATGGCTACAAGAGAGTTTAGTATTTTTAATTTGTTCACTGTTTTTCCTTTCTCAATCGAATTACGCTGGGCATTTCGGAATAAATGCCGTGTAGTGAGTGTTTCATTTTTCTCATTGTGGATGACTTGCGCGTACTCTTTTGGTTGGTAGAGCTATTATGGCTACAGCTTAATAAATTACTATTTTATAAAGTTTTCTTTGTTGTCTATGCTCTTGGATTGATCTGGCCCACTAAACCCTTCCCACGTAGGGTTCAGAAATAAACTTCTCATTGTGTGGATTTTAATATGTACCAATAGGTGTCCACAAGTTTAGCACCTAGTGATTGTGCTCAAACGGCTTGTGGTGGACTAGCGACGGATCATCAAGGCTTCTTGTTTACAAATCATCCCTCAAAATGACGAGAAAATATCTAAATAGATGTAAAACCAGACGAGTGAAGCTGAAATGAAATGTTCATAAAGCCCTCAAATGAGTTTAAGGAAACCCAACTACAGTCACATGTAAAAAATTATAGCGTAGTACCAGACATCAGGCAACATCAGCTCTAATGACTTTAGGCAATACAAGGACATATAAACTAGCGAAACATCGCATCTATATATAAATATATATATATATATATATATATATATATATAGACAACTATGTCTTAAATTTCGTGCAATTTAGAGTTAGTTTTTTTGTCTTTTTGTTGGCTTCATCCATATTCTAAGGAAAAACAGAATATGAAAGGAAAGAAGGAAGCCGATCCTCTCAGTGTCGCCTCCCTTAGCGTCTCTCAACGTCACTTCAGATTAATCCAAAAGCTCACAATGTCACATCGTCATGCTTTTAAAAATTAAAAATAACGAAGAATTATAATGCAAAATTAATGAGGAGCTTTGAACTATTTTTTTAAAATATTATTCTGTATGGAACACCCAATTTTCTGGACCTAAGAATTTATCTTAAAAGAGGTCTAAACTAACTGGGATGATCATAAAGGCCGATGAAATTCTATCACCAAGTGTTTACAATTTTTTTGAATCTATCTCACTTCAACTAAATCATTTATCGAAGTCTAAACTAATCTAAGTTGAGTTGGGCAAGACCACAAAGAGCAACAAAGCCCTACAGCAGATTATTTATAATTTGAAGAATATGCATAAAATAAATATCAATATATTGAAATGCCAGAAATGCGATGGTCGGCACCATCTAGATAGTAAACAGAAAGGCGATACTCTGCACCGTCTAGGTACCAAACAGGAGCAAAATAAGAAACAATGCTAAGAAGAAGGTAGTCCGCACCTTATATTTACCATAATCCAACATTTTATAGGAGATCCCTCCTTGTGGAAAGATAAATCAGCAGAGCTGCATTCTAATCTTAAATGTAGGATACTTGCTAACTTTGGATGCTATAGGGACACATTTTTAACCAGAGTTTATACCAAAGAAGATAGCCAACAACCTTTTTGGAAAGAAAAATTACTAGTTAATCTTCTTAAATCCTTAGGAACTAAAGTAAAGAGAAAATTAGAAACCAAGCAAATGGAACAATTCTATACAAACATCAAAGCTATAGACAAGTCATATCCTGTGTTCAAAAGATTGCCTGAAAAATATGCCAAAACGATAAAATAAATCACCAACTAGCTAAAGAACGAGCCAAAAATAGGAAAGATCTAGGATCTTTTTCCGAATAATTTGAGTTTCCACCTTGCCAAAACATCAAAAGAGTCATCGTATTAGCCGACAGAAAAGTTCATATCAAAAACACAAATCTACCGCTCCACCAAGAACACTCAAAAAAGAACTTTGATAAAAGTCAACCCTTGATCTTCCTAAAAAACAGATAATATGTTATAAATGTAGAAAACCCAGTCATATATCGAACTATTATATGTTACGTAAGTAAATTAGAGCCCCAGAACTTGACAAAATATTTTAGACCAACTAAATAATCTTATGATAAAAACATTCGATGAAGAGAGTAGTGCACAGTCTTTTGAAGACATTAACCAAATCCAAGAGGGTGATCTTTTTTCTTCTGAAAAAGAGATTTATGTTACCACAAGAAAACAATACATTTTGTTTGAAGTCATTAATGCTCTTTTGAATCAAGGAAAAAAAAAAGATATTATCTTAATAAATTTACAGAAATATTTGAAGATAAACATTCCTTTCCAAATCCTACGCCCATAGCCAGTAAAATAGAAGAAAGAACCCTTAGGTATCAACAAGAGAAACAAAGTTTAAATCAAGCTACTCAGCCTCCGAGAACCAATCCCTAGTAACCAACCTGAAACCAATGATGAAAATGCGGAAGCAAACGAAGAACTTTATGAACCTTTGCTTAACTTAATTGAGAGATTAGAAATTCAAAAATTCTACATTAGAATAAAAATTATCATTAATAACAACAATGATATATTGTCCTCATGAAACTAAATCGCAATTTAGTTTACTTTACACATTAAATATACTGGAGGAAGAGAAGAGAAAGCGGCTTTGAGAGGGGCGAGCAATCAATTCCAAGAGTTATCGATTGAATGAAAAAATTGATCCCTCAATCTCATTTATTTAAAATATGCCCCGCTTGCTTCATTTCGCTTAGATCCTATCCAGCCGAACATAGACTTAATATAATCCAACATGCTAAATGTTCGAAGCCATTGAGAAAAAAATCTTCTTAAAAAAGCACTTAAATAACCCAAGGTCTTTATTTGAATCATTGAATTTGTCAAAACCTTAATTAGGTCACATGACCTAAAAAACTATTTTAAAATTTTATGAAATGGCTCTAATACTCTTTCATTAAAAATCTAGAGAGATGATGATTTTTTATCATTCTTGCATTGTGTAAGAGCTCTAAACAAGAAAAACTTAGCATCTACAACTGCAAAGTTAGAAAATCGATCAAGAATGTAATGGTAGTTAGTTTTTATATTAAATATTCCTTCCTTAATCCTACAAGTGTGTTATGGAGATAGAAAACTATTAATTTAGAATTGAAATATGTTAAATATTAAATGGAACATGTTAATTTTTAAAGTTGTTATGATCAGTTTTTATTCAAAAGACTTATCGCAAGTGTTATGGAGACAAAAAGTTGTGAATTTAGGATTAAAATGTATTAACTGTGAAATGAAACATGTTAATTTTGAAGGTTATACTATGATCAAGTTTGATTCAAAGACTTAATGCAATTGTGGTTGGAGGCATAAAGCTGTTAATTTAGAATTAAAACTTGTTAACTACATGTAATTGAACATGTTAATTTTTAAGATTATATTGTGATCAAGTTTTATTCAAAGACTTACTGCATGTGTGTTATGGAGACATGAAGTTGTTAATTTAGGATTAAAACATATTAATTACGAAATGAAACAAGTTAATTTAGAATTTTCTTTTAATTTATAATGAAAAGGGCATTAGAGTCATCTCATATTTTTGTTTTTTGAATAGCAAGGCATGCTAAAGCCTGAGACTAAAAATGACTAAAAACCACCTATCTACTAGTAGGAATCAACATCCCGAGTAGCATTCTCTAAATCTAGATGAATCTGACGTAGACAAAAGTCAAGAGGTCTAGCTACGATGTGCATGTCGGTATTTGTTGCATGGGCATTTCTAGCAAGGCAGTCTGCATAGGTCAAAGCTTCCATAATCATTTAGTAACAGATATAAAGCTTTCAAAGAATCGGTATAAAGCTTGATGTTGGAGAGATTCAAGCTTTTACAGATTTATAAAACTAAGTAGATGGCTAAGAGCCTTACTTTAGTTAATGGAGCATAGCCCAAACTTTTCTGGAATCCTAATATCCAAATCCCTCTGTTGGTTCTAATTACCCCACCACATGTTGTTTTTCCTTTATTCTACACTGGGCCATCCTTATTGACCCGAGTATATCCTTTCAAAGGTAATGTCTAGTTACAACTTGCTCGATCTACAATCTGAAAAATCTAGTGGTTATATCTCCTATTCTCAACTACCCTTCCAGAAGTTGCAAAGTGCATGGATGCACAAGATTTGTTGGAGGATCATTGTAACACTTTAACTTTTAACCTTTTTTAACATCCAATAAAAGCAATTAGAACCACTTATCAAGTCTTTAAGTTGAAAAAAATTTAAATTTTAAAATAATCCTTCTCAGGTTACTATTCATTGTAACCTTAAAAATTGATCCAACTTTTAAAAATCATAACTAAATCTAGAAAAATTAAAATAAATTGGTTTCAAGTTTTATTTGAAGCTTTTAGAAAGATCTTTAAGGAAAAAATACTTCCATGTTATAAATCCATCTCATGTGTGTATAGCTTTTACGTCAATGTGCATTAGTCATATGGTCAATTTTTCAATTTCTGGAATTTATACCTAACTTTAGATAGGCATAACTTTTTATACAAACTCCAATTTTAATGAAATACGCTAAAAATGAGATTTATTGATTTGTCAAATTTTATAATCAAATTCATCTATTTGCCCAAAATCACGTGGACTCCATTATTGGCCCATTTTAGGTCAAATTCATCCCTTTTAAATGTCAACTTTGAACAATTATACGACAATAACCAAAGGCATGCTTCAACCATAATTCACACCATTAAAACTATTATTTACTTATGTTACATATCATAAGTAGTCATCAAGTCATCAAAAGTTATAATTATTACAAGTAACACATTATTCAATAGTTCACATAAACACATCAAGACCATTTCTCATGCTAGGGCTGCTTCCTTGCCTTTTCCTTGAGTACTTGCAATCCCTAAATGGTGTTAATTTGAACATAAAGAAGGATGAGATTTTATAAAAATCTCAGTAATAAAGAACCACAATTACATGTCAAACAAGCAAAGCATGTCACATGTTATTCTGAAGATAACAATCAACATACATCCTATGGAAAGGGAGCAATATACCATACCAATAATCAACTCAACAATGCATATAGCCAATGCATAAAAAGTAAGGAGCTAAACATATTGTCATCTATCTAGTTCTATAACATCATCGCATATAAACACGGAATAACACATAAC